TGACGACTTCCCCATTCACGTCACGGATGCCATAGCCGTAACAGTCTACGCCAACGTTAACGTCCAGATCTGCCTCGCGACGGGCAAAACCAAGTCGGATGTTACCCCGCGGCGAACCGCTCGGCGTCTGCTGGGAGCCTTTTACAATGCCACTGATCACGCGTGCCTCGTAGTAATAAGAGCCTTCACGGGCGCAGACGTTAGCTCGCGCAGAGTGCCAGGGTTCGTTTGTGGTGACTGCTAAGCCGTCTTCAGTGAAGCAGATGGCTGCGGGAGAGTCTTCATAGCTGAAGCGGGAGTAGTAAGGGGGTACATCGGTTTGGCGGTATTTTATGTGTGGGAAGGAAGGGTCCATGGCAGCATAGGTGTAGCGGAATCCGTTTCTGTTGCTTAGTCTGAGAGATAAATTTTATCAGTTTCTCTGCTCATTGAAAAAGAATATCTGGCCAATGAGAGGCATGAACATACTTATCAGCAATCTCATAAAACTTCCATGACTGGCCTAGTACCTCAGAATGTTTTTCACAGGAGAAGTTCATCTGGCGTGGTCTGGGAGGTAGAACATCTGTTGGCCGCGGATCCGCAAGCTGAATGGGCATGAGCATGGTAAGCTCAGAGGAAGGAATAGCAGAACTGGATGATGAAGTGGTGGATTTCTTTTCGCGAGCCACGGGGGCGGAACCGTCTACTCCCACTTCCAGGTTGCCTTTTGCTTCGCGCTTCTTCCGACTGTCGCGTTTGTTTCTCTTCGCCCGACCATTTTGAGTTGAAGGGTCATTGTTCATATTTGAGGACGGAGGGGGAGGTGTCTGATTGGCATCGATGGGGTTGTTGGTAGTTAGGGAGGGGTTAACGGTGGGAGGAGTTGAAGAAGATGCTGCAGAGACGGATGGATTGGGGGGTTGGGGCAACGACACCATGGTGACGATACTCAGGATGCTATGTGGTTTGTAGATAATATGGATCTTTGGACAATTCGCTTGTTTGCTTGTCAGTGTGGAAATCTGAGAGCTTGCGTATCAGCAACAGCATGGCAATTGCTGAGGATAGAGCTGACAAGATGTAAATGTCATCTCAACAAGAAACCTAGCACAAGTAGAGGCTACCAACCTGACCAAGAGGGGTCCCTCCCGTCAGTGACTTTCTAATCTAGGTCTGTAAAGCTCGAGGCTGACGATACCATAGGCAAAGATAATGAGAAGACAAAGGCAGCGCCTCCAAGCAAGGCCTGGGCTGTGGGGAAAATAAATAAATTGTACACTATTCAATGGCCCATCCACAGCATCGAATGTTGTGCTATCTGTTTCCCCACAGTAGCAAAACTGACACACCGTCCAAGTACCAAACAAGATTAATGCACTTAATTGGTTGGGGCGTGTAGGAGTATTTAATCGCTGCTAAACCTAGATTATCCCCAATTCACCGTATACGCGCAGGGGGGCTACGGGTAGATAGTACAGGTTGCCGTCCACGGGTACGTAGGGGAGTATATGTCCCTGGGCCTGCTTTTCCGTTATTGTCCTGCCTAAATCCGGTCTAAGTTCGGGCTGTGCTGGTAACTACGATGGCGGAAAAGAGAGATAGTCAGTGACATTGATTGGAATAGTGAGTGTAGTCATTTTTGTTGCACTGGAAGCGGGATTCTCACATGTGGGTTATACGCAGCAGGGAGTCTGGTCTACCCTACCTGTGTGGTTGGGGATTGGCTTGCGCCGGAAAGTTGCTGCGGCGGTGCAGAGCTAGGAATTGATACGTTCCCTCGCCCTGAATCAATCAACGACCAAAAAACAGGCTGCTGTTGTTGCCAGCCCGTAGAAGTGGTCGGGGCTGCGACGTTCTAATCTGTTGTTGTTGTCAACTCGTGAGCAGAAGGCGCTTGACGGAATTGGTATCCTCTGCTGAATGAAACGGCAGATCTATTCCAATTGGCATTCGTACGACCGTAAATATTGGGCAGCTAAAGGTCTTGCAGTGGGATATTGCCGTGATTGCCCTCGTTGTCGCCAGTATAGCTTGTTGTTGTCTGGGTTGAACATCGATATTGCCACTGTTGAGTGAAGAAGGCGAAGACTGATTAGGAAAGGCGGAATTCAGGGCGGCTTAAATAAGGTTTGGGGTGAGTTCAAAAAGGGAACAATGAAAGCACGGTAATTAACTACTTAGAGGGGTAGCCCTGACTAGATTTGGAAAGTGACATGAACAAAGGAAGTTTAGTGTTTCTCCCAATACGCTGGATATGGGAAGTAGTGGGGCCGTACTCTGAATTCTAGTAGAGGTGACTATATCATTTATGGGTACCAACCAACATCAATGATTGGCTGATTGGAAGCAACTAGACCGCTTTTAGAATGCAAATGCTGAGTCACCACCACACCCTTCTGATCAAAATCATGTGACTTCACCTCTTGCCCACAATTTCTATTAAAATCTACAAAAAGAAAGACCTTCAGACTGCATTTTGTATCTACAGCTACAACATACCCCTTCATTGCAACCTCCTTATGCGCAGGGTTCTCTTTATATGCTGAACTGAGAACACCATTTCGCGACCCAAGGAGAGCCAACCCAACTACAGGACCCTTCAGCAGGCCACGAATAGAACGTAACCTCCACTGAATGACAAACAAAAAGGACATATAAGAAGAGACTAGGAACCATGTCGAGGGCTACTACTGCTGAGCGCAGACATGCGCCGCTCGCAGACGATATCCTTTCAAGCGGCCATTTGCGCACAAAGTCAGCAAAGCGAAAGTCGCGCCCGGACGAAGATGAAGGGGACCAGTATCTTGACTCAAAGACCTCGAGGAAGATCCTGCAAATAGGTCAGGATCTTGCAGACGAGGATGCGGAGGAATCCCGTATCACATTGGCTGCTGCGGGAGTAAAGAGAAACACGGCCTTTGATTTTGAATCTCGGTTTGGCGCTGAGGGTGATGACGGGGAGGGAAACGAGGATGCGGAGAAATATAGCGAGGACGAGTGGGGGGATGTTGAGGAGGAGATTGAGGAAGTGGTATGTATATTATGCTAATATATCTCTTGAGAGAAAAGTGGTTCTGAATGAGCATCGTCTCTAACACAATTTATTTAACTTCTAGGAGGTTGACCCCAATGACCTCGATACGTTCCACAAATTCGTACCCCGCGGTGAAGAAGATCCCATATTCAACCCTCGCAGTCCAGATGACGAAGAGCAAGGACAAAGCACCAACCTAGCAGATTTGATCCTTGAAAAAATCGCAGCATATGAAGCCGAAAAAAGCGGTAGCCAGCCTCAAATTATTGGAGGCGGCACAATGGAAGACGCTGTTGAACTCCCTGCTAAAGCCGTAGAGGTCTATCAAAGGTGCGGCCCTCCATATCTCTTACGAAACATCATAATTCACGCACGAAAAGGCAATACATCTAACATAAGCAATCCACAGAGTCGGCTTCCTCCTCTCCCGCTACAAATCCGGACCCCTCCCCAAACCCTTCAAAATCCTCCCCACCCTCCCCCAATGGCAAACCCTCCTCGAAATCACGCAGCCAGAAAAGTGGACGCCAAACACCATCTACGCCGCCACCCGCATCTTCATCTCCGCCAAACCGCACATCGCCCAGGAATTCATCAACACCGTCCTCCTCGACCGCGTCCGCGACGATATCCACGAAACCAAAAAACTGCACGTGCACATCTACAACGCGCTGAAAAAGGCCCTCTACAAACCCGCCTGCTTCTTCAAGGGCTTCCTCTTCCCCCTCATGCAGTCGGGCACCTGCACCCTGCGCGAAGCACACATCGTCTCCAGCGTGATCACCCGCGTCTCGATCCCCGTGCTCCACTCCGCCGCCGCCCTGCTGCGCCTGTGCGACATGGCGGCCGAGAAGACGGCGTCCGCCCTCTCGTCCGAGGGCACGGGCGCGCTGAACATGTTCATCCGCGTGTTCCTGGAGAAGAAATACGCGCTGCCCTACAAAGTCATCGATGCGCTTGTGTTTCACTTCCTGCGGTTCCGGGCCACGGAGCAGGTGCCCCCGCCGCCGCAGCACGAGCAGGGGCTGGAGGGCGATACAGACATGACCGACGCCGCGCGCGCGGCCGCAGCGAAGAATTATAAGTTACCCGTCCTGTGGCACCAGTCGCTGCTTGTGTTTGCGCAGCGGTATCGGAATGACATTACCGAGGATCAGCGGGAGGCGCTGTTGGACCTGTTACTTGTGCGGGGGCATAAGGATATTGGGCCGGAGGTGAGGAGGGAGTTGTTGGCAGGGAGAGGGAGGGGGGTTGTTTTGCCTGAGAATGCGGAGGGAGCTGGAGTTGGTGATGGCGGTGATGATACGATGGACATGGGGATTTGAGATGGGGATGGATAGAGCGGCATATAATTTCATGTCCATTTTCATGTTCATTTTTCACATCCATTTTTCCCTTGGGGATTTTTGGATTATTTCCAGCGACGAAAGGTTTAATGTCCATGATGAATTAAAAGCTTTGCCTAGGATTTTCGGCATGCATACATATACATATATACATACATTCCCATATCGTCTCATGATCGGATTCTACAGATGAGGTACGAATGAATCTTGCTCCACAATCCGCACATATTTCACCCCATCTCCATTTGAAACAGTTATTTGCTCTAAGCTCCTAGAATGATTACTTCCAATCGTTCTATGTCATGTAATTTTAATCAAATAAAGGCATTCGTTCTATATTAAATTCGATGACGTCCATAGAATGGAAATAAAGACGAAAAAAAAAAAAGAAAAGAAAAGAAAAGAAAAAGAGGGAAAGCAAAAGAAAGCTGCACAAACCATGGAACGCAAAATAAAAATCGCCTGTGATAAGCACCCTGTAAAAAAGAACAAAAAATCATAATAAAAAAACACCGAAGAATATGGAAAACAGAGCATAAGGTAGGAAATACATGGAATTTAGTTTGCAGGACAGGATAGGGCGAAGGGACGCGAAAAAGTGGGGGAGCGGTATGCAATGGCTAGGACGCATGTTTGGTCGTCAGGGTAAATCGTAACAACGTAACAACGTCCGTACGTACTCTAAGGGTACGTTAACGTGGGATGAGATGGCCTGGGAGATTTTGGTAATCGGCAATCTAGACATGGAAATGGAAGGGGGGGCGACGGATCGATGGTGGCTTTTGAAACACCCAGGTAGGTACACCAGGGAGGGTGGACAACAGACTGTCGAGGAGAACGGAAAGGGTAAGCGAGGAGGACGCTGAGCGAGACGGGGTAATAAACAGATACCCCGAGCGGAACCAGCGCAAGCAGAAGTAATAAACGGCAAAAAAAAAAAAAAAAAAAAAAAAAAAAAAAAAAAGAAAAAAAAGAGAGACAGTAAAGGGAGTGAAATAATTCTACGCCCTCAACGCCCTCAACCTCGCATCCAACCCATCCTCCTCCTCCCTCTGCTTCCCCGCCCCCTCGCGCGCCCCCACCTCCCCCGCCGGCGCCGCATTCGCCTCCAAATGCTCCCGCATATCCACCCCGGCCTCATCCGCCAACTTCTGCATCAGCCGCTCAACCTCCTCCTTCCCCTCCCCGCCCAAGCTCTGCTCCTGCACCCCCTGCGACACATCGCGGATCGCCGAGCTCGCAATCTTGAAATCCTGGCTGCGCTCCAGGAACGAGTTGGCGGTGACCAGCACGCGCTCCAGGTTGATGGTACGCGAGGCGCCCTCGAGCGCCTTGGAGGCGTAGGCGAGCGAGCGCGCCGCGCTCGCGCGTGCTGTAGGCGGCTTTGAGGTCGTTGACGAGGACTTCGGCCTCGGCGGCTTCGGCGCGCAGGGAGACGTAGCGGTGGTGCTCGCGCACGGCGGATTGGGAGTGGATCTGGGCGATTTGGAATTCGCGGTTTTTCATGGCGCGGGAGGCTTTGTTTTCTTCGGATAGGCGGGTTTTGTTGGCTTTTTCGGCTTCCTTGCGCGAGCGGGAGGCGAGCATCTGTGGGGGGAGGTTGGTTAGTTTTGAAGGGGTTAGGCACTATTGTGGGGAAATTTTGGCGGGATGGTAGTGGACGAGAGTGAAATGCATATACATATGGCATATACGGCAGGAATATACATATCGATACACAGCGGAGTTGGGGAGAGGGGAATTAATATGGTAACAATGGTGGGGAGGATGGGCGGAATCAGAACGTACCTTGACCTCCATCAAGGCCTTCATTAAGGGGTCTACGGGAGGCATATTGGAAGAGCTATATCTTCTGTACAGGGAGGATCTTCTTATGTTGTTTGTTCTGGGAAGTTGATATTCTGTTCTTGTTCGCAAACATAGCCCTGAGAGATTGATAGATATAGGCAACTTCCACTTGGTTGGATCGACGTCGTCCGGAGTCGCACTTAGGTAATATCTTTGTCATCCACTACCTCCCGCCATCCCACCCACAACAACAGCTATCGCCAAACGTGCGTATCTCCAAAACAGCCTGCCGCCCTCCATGCGCGCCATCCCACTTATCGCCATCGGCGCCCGGCTCCGTCGCGGCCAGGTACTCAATCGGGTGCGATGGGAGGAATGTGGTTGAGGAGCGGTTGTTGGGTTCTAAGGGGGAGGGGGTCAGTTTGTTGGTGATTGATGGGCGGTGATTGGACTGGGACTGGGGTGGGGGTTGGGGTTGGTTTGTGATGGTTTGTTTTGCGGAAAGACTCTCGTCGCCTTTCTTTACTTGTATACTACGGTAGATGTACTGTACTCCGCTTATCAGGTCAATGGGTATGTAGAAGTAGATGTGCTGAGCACGTGAATGAACGTGTGAATGGATGACATGGGCACGGAGGGGGAAATGGAGCTAGCTGCAATACCTAGACGGGAAGGGATTGCGAGCAGATGAACGGGGAGGTTTAAGAGGGGGTATGGTGACACGGAAATGGGAGTGATCATGACAAGCTTGTACTGCGAATGAAAATGAATAGATCGCATCTAATAAATAATTAACAAGAAAAGAGATTAATATTTCTTTTTGTTTATATAAAGAATAGATTAGTTAATAAATAACAAATCAATATACAAGAAGAGAAGGGAAAAAAGGGAAAAAAAGGAAGAAAGAAAAAAAAAAAAAAAGAAAAACCTCAAGCCAAGAATCAAAAGGTGAAAATGAGAAGGCCCGCTAGAAAAAAATTCATATCAATCATCACCGTCTCTGGTCTCTTCTCCAGGTCCATCCCTCCTTCGATCTGGAGTTAGAACCAGAACCAGAACTCGAGGAATTCCGCGAAGGACCATTCCCTAACACCGTCTGAAATTTGATCCACGCACGACTTACACCATTACCAGAGCCAGAACCACTGCGAGAAAACCGCGTCCGGCTCTCGAGTGTCCTCTGACTCCGCATCGACAACATCGATATACCCTTGACATGTTGTTTGCATTTCCGTGCCTTGGCCCGCTCAATACAATCAATCGCCCAGATCATGGTCAATAACAACTCATAGCCTACAGGACGACTCCCCACATCAACATCAACATCACCATCACCACGGCCCACCGGAGCGCTGCCAGACGACGAAGCCGCCAACAGGCTGCCAAAATCCAATACCCCACCGCTAGCAACTAGCTGCAAAAATGCCTTGCTCGTCGCATCGCGAAGTGGACGCGCCAAAGCTGGGCTGCACGCTAGAAGGCGGGTGAGGAGGTGGATTCGAAAGACTGGACGGTTCGTTGTCGGAGGCTCCGAGTGTTGTCGTCGATGAGGTTTTGTTGGTGTTGTCGACGTCGTCGAGAAGGTCGAGAGGGTCGGCGTCGAAATCAACCAGAGAATCAAAGGCAAGTGTTGCTGGATCTCCGCTGGAGAAAAGGTCAAAGGGGAGCCCTGTTTCAAGGAGCGAAAGATCTGAGTCAGAGGGATTAGAAGGGTAGAATAAGCGGTGGAAGTCATCATCTGAAAGAGGTGCTGGATGATCGAGAGCACCGCCAGGTTGAAGAGGAGTTGTTGTGGTGGCGCCTGTGGTTGCTGGAGCGGGAGTGGAGAGGTTGAAGTCGCTGTGGCGGGAGTCGAACAGAGGCTTGGAGAGGCTTGGGGAGGTTGCTGTTGCGCCTGGTGAGGAGCTGTCGATGGTTGCCACTCCTCCGACTGACACTGCAGGTCGCACAACATCGCTGCAGGATGTTGTGTCATGTCGGAGGAGTCGATGAGATCGCAGCCCTTCACGCTTGGCGAGTAGGAGGACATGGACGGGGTGGGGAATGGAATTTTGTCGAGAGATGAGATCATTTCGTCCCGTTCCTGTTTGAGGAGGATCGGGGCGAGGGTTGGCGAGGCCAGGCCGGAGACCATGGATTGCGGAGAGGAGCCTCTGGAGGATCGGATTTCGGCGGAGAGCTGGGCGACTTGTTGGCTCAGGCGGTTGTTTTCCGCCTCCATCTGGGCCAGGCGGCGTAGGAGCAGCCCGTTTTGGTGTTCCATCTCGAGCTTCTCGCCCTCGAGTTTCTCGACCTCGAGTCTCTTCCGCTCCCGCGAAGTCTGAGCCGCAGCACGGTTTCTGAGCACGCGCTCGATGCGGCGTTGTTCTTTCTCATCTTCAGTCTTGGCTCGTTTTCTACATATTTAACCCCCGTCAGTATTTGGTTTCCATGTAATTTTTCTTGTTTTCGTCAGATAAAAAACGGATGGGAAATATACCTTGGAGGCAGATTAGTCTTGGGGGTGGGCAGTTCCTGACCCCACGACTTTCTCTTCTTGACTGGTTTCTTCTCTTCGGGCTTTGGGGTAGCTGGTTCCGTCTTGACCTGAGCAATGACCTGCTCAGTGGCGAAGGAGAGGGTAGTCTCCGCGGGAGAGACGGTCAACTGGACGGGTTCTGAGCAGGGGGGAGGAGACATGGAGCTCAGACAGGAGAACGGAGTAGCCATGATTTTGGTTAAGTTCTTTTATTTTTTATTTTATTTTTTATTTTTTTTTTTTTGATGCGGCTTGTGTATGTTCTGTATTGAGTATACCCAGGGAGAGAGAAGAGGTGAAACTGAAGGCGAGTTGAAAGAAGTCGAGGGGAAAGGAGATGGCTAGGGCCAGGGCGGCATTATCACACAGGTTGGAGAGAATCCCACCAAAAAGAGGACAAGTGTCCTGTTCTATTTCTATCTCAGCAGAGTCAGAAGTGAAGATAGTTCGGTGTGGTTGGCCGTGGTGTTGGTTGAGAGCTGAAGTTCGCCGTCGTCGGGGGGGGGGAATCCGCGGCTCTTTTAAAGGCCACGCTGGCTCAAACTGCGGAAAGGGGCACCTGCCCAAACAAGCCTAGCGTTGTTTCGCCGGCCGTGGTTGCATCCCAATACGGTTTAGCGGTGGCGCGGAGCAACGGGGCATTTCGTGCTTGGTGGGGCGCGTACCGGTACCTGGCTCTGGGCTACGAACAAGGTACATTACTATACATGTATACGGAGTAGTCCGTACTGTACTCCCGTACTGGCAGGCATTAATATTATTGGTTCTAGTCTAGTAGTAGTAGTAGTCTGGCACTCCGGGCCCCTGACCCAGGTTACAGCTTGCAACTTACCGCTGTTACCAACTTTACACAGTAAGTAGTAGAGTAGTGGAAATGAGTGGTTATGCGTGAGTGGGCTACTAGGGTAGTATGGCTATCTACTCCGTACTCCGTATGTAATAATGGCCCTTTTCTGGTTGTCTTAGGTCTCTCTCTTGTCCTTCAGCCTCACCCCGATCAACCCCCCTCCTCCAGCGTCGATGAATCACCATATATCAATGTCGCCGGATGATCTTTATCCTGCAACACAACGCTGATAGCATGTATACTCCGTATTCGAATATGTAATCGATCGATATCAATAACGATTATAACCCAAGAAAAACGCCAATTCAATGAGGTAGTTCGATTTATGTTACAGAGTACTCCGTACTCCATGTTACATTAATTTGAATATTAGTTTTCCACCATTCAGCAGCAACGTGCATGTACAGGTAGGTACACTACGGTCGCACCTTGGCCATATTAAATATTAAGCCTAATCCAGGGTAGTTATCGTATCCTCAGCGAGGAAAAATAAAAATAAAAAGGCACCAAACCTTTGGAAAAGTTTAAAGCAAAGATGAGAGAGAAATAAAAGCCCTTCTTCCATGGATATGCGAGCGAGTAACAAACAACAGGTTATTTGTCCCCAGGGCTGGGTTAGGAGGTTCAGAGTTCGCACATAATAAATTATTCATGATAGTTACCCCGGCCAGGGGCGGGCAGGCATTCTCTGGGGAGAATTCCAGCGGGGCTGAGGGAAAGCCAAAAGCCGTGTACAGCGTAACATAATCAGGGGCTAATTTATTATTTGCTACTTCTCTTATTAAAGCACTACCAGAATAACTCTGTACTGAGGCAGTGATATCATTTTTACAACTGATGAATCAGTCAAGGACCAAGAAAGGTGTAGTGAGAAGGGGAGTTTGCTCTTGAACTTCTTCGATATGATCTGGAGAGGTGAGAGTGAGAGTGAAATAGATTTCCTCTTTATTCAATGTCTCCTGCAACTGCTGATGCTATTCTTATCATTCTGAACGTCCACGGGTACATATACGGTAGTACATGTACACTGCAGACATACTAATAAGCATTCAGCAGCAAGAAAAAGCTTGTAGATGCTATTTCTCCAAAGAATAATGAGGAAACAATGAATGAATCATGACAGTGTCTGATATGTATACTTTTTGATCATTTCCAGCATCAGCAGGTCATGAACAGTGGAGTGTCTTTCTACAGTATACCATAGGTTTTCTCATCTTCTTTCTAAAGAAACAAAACCTGGTTTCACTTGTATATGAGTCAGATAGTTTATTAGGTCTGTCTCTCTTTTAGATTTGTCTATATACATCTGATCTAGATTTACGGAGTACACTTTTCATAGTTGTCTCTCAAAGAAGAAAAAAAAGAAAAAAAAGAAAAAAAAGAAAAAAAAGAAAAAAAAGAAAAAAAAGAAAAAAAAGAAAAAAAGAAAAGACAAAGACATACAAACCAGATTCATCAATGACTTCGACTGATCTGAGCATACTAAGTTATGTACTGTACATACATACAAAAGAGCTTGCAGTGTGGTTGACGACGCATGTAGTCATTGTGCTGGATATTGGCAAACAGAGTGCATCTACGGAAGTACTGTGTACGCAGTATAGTATGAGCCATCAAATCCCCCAGCCAATCTTCATTTGTCCCTGTTGAACTTGTGGCAAGAGGAGGCTATGACCATCATGTTTCTATTTTTAACTTATCCCAGGAATACAATACGATTTTTGTGGCTCCTGGTACCAGATATGAGATTGTGCTGCGGCCAAACAACCAACATCTATGTACTCCGCAATACCAACACGAACTCTCCGGCGCTGCAGATAGAATAACATAACATCACTCACTCCGCCTTCGATAGATACTGTAGATGGATAACCCTCCACCTCCTCTGCCTTCCTTACCGAAAACCCCTTGTTTCGGACCCGGTTGTCTTTGTTTATTATTTATTGGTCTAAAGAAACTGACTGCTGACATGCTTGATTGGAGGCAGATTCTGTACACACAAGGGTCAGAGCCAACCCTTCGTTTTTTCTTCTGCTATACGGTAGCAAAGCATGGGGGAGGGATGCTATTCCTGTTGCTCAGAGTGGGAGGAAGAGGGAGTGCTTCATTGTCTTGAAGCACGAAGGGGAATTGTCTCGACTAAACCATGCTATGCCATGCAGAGGGTTTGTACTCCGTACTATGTACAAGATGGTAGGCAGGCAAGTGTTGGATGGGGCCATTCATTATCCTCATCAGATGCCTTTCTTTTATATTCTTTTTTGTTATGCTCCTGCCTTTTCCTTGTTTTACAATTTGATGCTGGATCTCTTCTATACAAAAGAGCTCATGGGTTCTGTGAGGTCATTGGCTTCCCCCCATCATTGTCTGGTATTATCATGCATACACATACATGTGTATAGTTCATTGCACAGCAGATAGATATCTTCTTGGTATCCTATCCATTTCTATCACCTAAATTTTTTTCTGATATTTGCTGTGCTTCTTTCTTTTCATCTTACTCCCATTTTACTCTCTGGATCTGTATGAGATCAGCCTTTCAGACTATCAACGGGAAAATAGAAAATAGAAAAATAAAAATAAAAATAAAAAATAGAATAAAAAATATCCCCTCAACGAGTACCCATTTAGGGTACTCCTACACATCAACCATGAATCCCAAACACCCCAAACACCCCACCCACCTCCTAAACACCCTCATGACCCTCTCCGAACGCCTCATGCTCTCCTGCCGCAGCGTTATTTCTGTGGCTGTTGATGTGTTTTTGCTTGCGGGGGGTGGGCGCTCTGATGATCATGGGGATTGTGATGAGTGGTATGAGTGCGATGGAGCTGGTTGCCAACTACCATTGTGGGAGCCGGTCAATCGACGAAATTGCTCTACGGGCTGGGCATCTGTGGACTGGTCAATGGAGAAACAAGACGGTGTTTGGCAATGTGGAGATTACCATCGAGATGTGTTTGATTCCCTCTATTATGAACACGGACAGAGATATCCTTACTCCGACCACCTCCCAGGAAGCCATTGTTCAGCTCACCATCTACAACTACAGCATACAACTCACAGCAGAAGCAGCAACCGAACCGCAAATGGGCCCTGGTGAACAAAGGCTGACATCCCACCCCCACTCCAACACAACACCAAGCGTGCGAGCGATCTCATATCCACCCAGGTAACCGACATCGACGGCTGGCTAGGCAAGGTCACGAACAAGGAGGTCGATTGGGACTATTGGCATGCCATCATCGATGAGTACTATTACCCTGCAGACCACCACCACCACCTCTCACTCCCAATACCCATACCAGGCTGTGTTTCCAACAGCGGCGATGACGATAGTGATGGTGCTAGTGCTAGTGATGGTGGTAGCGCTAGCACTACTGCTAGCGACGGCGAATGGCCCAGTACATCCATCATTCGCGAATATCTAGACAGCCCGCCGCGCGATGCCTCTTTTCAAAAGCGGTGTATCGAAACCGGTGACAGGCGGGATGATTGGTGTTTTGATGATATTGGCGAGCCTAGTGGCGGGTTAGGATAGGGGAGGGATGGACATCCAGGTGCGAAGTTGATTGTTTTTGCATTGACAGGATGAGATTTCTATCAATGGCTGGAGAGAGTTGCTTGGTTGTGGTTGTGTGTCGTTATGGTGCAGGGTTATTGGTATTTGGTTTTCTGGATACACGGTTTTTTTAGGCATAGTATGACTATGACTCTTTGACGAGATATATCGAATGACTCCACGGCATACACGAATATATATATGATATCAAATATCTCTTCCATCTCCCCCCTTCAGGAGCATCCATCCCGTAGTGGCATATGCAATTGAAAACTGCACACATGTATCCTATACAATGGGAATGATGGCATGCAATCGTTTGCCAACATCTTTTGCGAGGTTTAGAGAGGTTTCGTTTGTTGAAACCGATAGAGCTTGAGTGTATATCTTAGAGATGGCTGTAAGCCAGTCAGGATACGGTTGGTTATCGTCACTATGTACTCTGTAATACAGAAAGAATCCTTCTGTAGCTATTTAGTTTCTCGAGCCTCGTGGAAAAGCCTATTGTTCCATCATACAGAAGAGGTATCATGTTCCAGACAGAGGAATGGGGGTTTGCATCGTACCAATGGCCAGCTTTCTGCAGATTCCAAGGAGTTATGAGTTATCACGAACTGTATATCGCCCTTGGATATACCCGAGGCAAAGGTCGGCCGGCCATGGATGAATCTTCGGCGTTTTGATAACTAGGTTTCTGCGACTCTCAGCTGACCAAGCCGAGCCATTGATGAGGGACTGATACGATACCAGCCATTTCATCCAGCTTGATTTTGAAAAGTGCGCTCGAATCCTGGGGCGAATGGTATGATTATCGTCTGTCCCTTTCTGCCAAATAATGATGCCTTCGTCTATCCAGTTAGCTAAGCTAGTCAACGACTCTCTTGTGGCTAATGCAAGTGGAGGAGTTATATGAACGAGTCTTTGGTATATGACTTCCACCACCCCCTCCCCTCCTTTCTTGACAGACAGGATTATTGCGGATGAAGAGAAGCTGCAAAGCTGCATAACCCCGCAATCGAATCGAATCCTGTCTGTCAACCGGGCTCGGTGACCTGCCGTCCGGGAGTTATTATCCACTTTCCAAGGCTGCCTGCCACGCGAGTTTTGATCTTAGGTAGATTATTGTAGTGTACCTGGGCTCGACTCGGTACCAAGTTCACGGTCTATCACAGACCGTCGGACGCCGGACGGGCGCGGTTCTGGAATAAATAAAGAGAAAAGAGTAGCTAAAAGCAAAGGGATTGGATGATGGCTAGGCCATGGTGAAACCCTCTCCCCGCGGTTAGGGGCGGCTTGACTTGGTGTTGCAGGCTACACTGGAGCTTTGATATTGAGCGCTGAGACCGTGCTTTAGTTCTCACGCCGCGTATTATTCTCTTGGGAGGAACGAATCGCAGCAGAATAATGATGATGATAAAGGGATCAATGCGTAGACCATCTTTGTCTCCACGCCTGAGATGGCACAACCGTTAAGGAACATTTCTCCGCAAAGGGGGTCTTCATAGTCGATTCTGAGGGGTATATGTGCGTTGAAACTATGGATAGACAGACAGCCAATTGACCGGGTGGTGCGATATGCTTTACTTTTGACCCCTTTTGTTACCAACCTGCGCAGTTGAACAGATGGCAAGTAGGTGGCCTGAGGTTGAGGTCAAGCAGCTAGTAGCTATTCTGCCGCATTCAATTATTTAACTAAATATTTAAGTTAGTTGAACTAGGCGGTGTGACTGACCCGGGCTGTCAACATTTGGTCATTAACGACGACGAAGGTGAAAAGGGTGAGCTTGACTTGAAGAGTTTGAGATCGCACTCAACTCAACTTAATTGTTTGACCATTATATGAGTGTTTAATTCTTCTCCTTTTACCCATTTGCTCAGCTGTTCGTCCCTCCGGAGAACTATCGCGGCTTGCCAGTGCGACAGGAAGTCTATTTCTTCTATGATAGATGGAGTACAACCCCTGTTGAGTGTATGCCTTGTGGATATTGGTGAATGGGGGTGGGTGTATAAGCATATGCCTCGCTGTGAAATTTGCAGGATCGTGAGCTAGCTAGGCGTGCCCCTGAAGCTCCTGAAGCTCTAGAGCTACATCAACACCATAGGAATAACTACTTGCGAGGACCCTAACAGCGCACGCACCAGGCTGGAGAATGAATTGGTCATGAAAAGTACTCGGGCGGTGCGGATAGTTAGCCATTCGTCACATTTACTCTTTTGCCAAGGGGTTGTTTTACACTCTCCGCGAGGCGATAACTTGTCCGGGATGTTGCTCTTAACCCTGACCAGGCGTTATGGATACTGGAATACATGAACGTGTGCAGCTCTGAACTGCCCGTTTCGTGCCCATGCGGCAAGGGAGTGGATTTCTAGCAGACCTGATTTAATTCGGGAAGCAAGCGGCATGTATGTACATACCTTCTGAGGTACATATGTACTGTACACCAACATTTCAGCCGTTCAGCCCCAGACCTGTTGCAACTATCTCCACGCTCTCTTATGATCCTGTGCCGCTCCGGTATTTTGAACGACCACCTCCTAGTCAATGCTGCGATAGTTCGCTGCTGAATGCCGTATGGACGTCGTGTTAGCCATATTATGGGGCGACGGCTGGCGCCTAAGGTCCTTGTCATACATGTTGAGACCGCAACAAATCATCCCTTCATGAACCAATCATCTGGATGTTTCTTAGACGAAAGACGGAGGATTTAATCCTTCCCTGCGATCCGGGAACTCGGATCTCAGCGCCATATTTTACAGTCATAGCTTGCGAAACATAGCTATCCAAGGTAATGTGGATGTGGTCTTTTGCGCGGTCTCCCTTCTCGCTGATTTTCTCCAGGAACTTTTTTATTTTTATTTTACAGAACCAAAATTTGGTTTGATAAGTGAATATACTCTATCATTCAAGCTGGGCACCTAGTATGGAGCTGCAAAATAAACTGGGATAACACCTTGATGCCCCCTGTCCCTGGTTTATACTGCGGATCAAAGCGAATATTCACGATCTTTCATGGCTCAAACACTCCTTTCCTAAATGTATCCTTCCGCTTCTCAAGTTGAACAATGGCAATGCTCTCCCTCGTTTGTTCAAAATACACACTTCCATATCTCAAAAGTTCCCCAAATGTCCCTGGCTCACAATCGGCGCCGTCCTTGTCATCCCAAAGATATCCTAATCCGGGTGATGGTGATAATTTTTTGGCATGACTGACTTTCTGCATTGAGGAATGTGTGAGCACACGCCACACCGCCTTATACGCAGTTTTGTACTCCTCAGATTCCGGGTCTGCGTCTAGACGTGTAGAGAGGGCGTCGAAAGCATTTTGCCCGCGGAAACCAACAATAGTCTCAAGCGCCCAATCCTCCTTGAGAGAATCGAACCAGAGGATATTATCCGCAGCATAATCGGCGCAGCTGAACCCGTCCCCCGCGTCTTCGAGTCTGCACAGGCGCCCCCAGCAAAGAACCTGGGTGATGTACTCCAACACGGTCATTGCGTCAACTGAGAACTCGAACTGGTATCCGTTCTGCGCTGCTGCAGTGAGGTCCAGTTGCGCAGCATATGACAGGAGCGGACTGCTAGCCATTCCCGCGTGAGACGTTCTGTTACCCCAAAGATGAACAAATAGGTCGTGCCATCTCTTGATGAATGGGTCGCCTTTACGGCTAGCCACGAAATGGTTTGCCATCACCCCATCATACATACAGGGCACGGCAACGTTCTTGGGAGAACTGTCGTCTGCAAGCGTAGACCAGCACACTCGATCAAGGTCGAGAACGAGCAGGATCCCTACATCCATGAACACCCCTCCGTGGAGATATAAACATGCGCCGCGCAGAAAGTCCGCGCTATGTGGGCCAGTGTACGGACCGTCCATAGTCCCCTTGGTGAATGCCTCAGGGAGCATGTCTGCCGGTAGGTATTTTAACGCGTAGTTGGGGGAGTCAGGAACGGCATCTAGCACACGAATTGTCCACGATGGACCGCAAAGACGAGACCAGTTTGCCACGTTGCGCTTGCACCAACCGGGCATAGATTGGATCCCTGAATCCCAGAATGCCCAGATATTTTTCTCTGACTCCACCGGCGTAAAGGCGTTGAGAGCCGAGATGATTTCCTCGTCTGTCCGCGCATGACGAGGTTCGACATATTTGAGATCGCCCTGGAACTCAGGAGGAATGGTAAACTGATGAGGAGCCATGTCTCTGATAGATGATTTTTCTTTGATATCCTTGTTCCCTTTCGTCAAATTTTTCGTGAATTTGGAGTCTGTAAAGTTACTTGCGCCAACCTATCCCTCCTGTATGCTTCCTATCCCATGGTCTCCTATTTATACCAGACTGCGAAAACGGTGCGGTCCCGCTGTCTAGCAAAGGACCCATGAATGTAACCACAGCAACATTTCAAGCTGTTGCGAGGAGAGTCGCATTCCCGAAAACGGACGAGTTAAAATCGTCCAAACCCAAGAGCAGTTGCCAGGATACACCTCGATACGTGATTCGAGCGCTAAATTATTTCTAGCCCATTTCACTGAAGTGAGCCCCGCTTGATGTTAATTTTACCTTCTCTTTTGTTGGAGATCCGACAACTAGTGCTTATAACGGAGACTTATTACTACTGTATTAGCTTGCGGGTTTACTACTCTATTTAGTTCATACAAGCTGGGGCTGAGGCTAGGATAATTTAGCTAACCCTAACCAACCTCGCAAGAATTTCCGATTGAGGGTCGAAGACAATATTTCTGTTCCGTCTCCTAAGTTCCAAACGATTTTGTGTGAGTATCAGCACCATACAGCGTGAAGGGGGTCGCAATGAACCTTTCGTTGTGGTTTGATTATGACGACGCACTAGGGTAAGAACAAGAAGCAACAGCTGTTCCACTTTTCTATCTACTTCAACGACTGCTGCTATCCTATCTCTACACTTTCACATACCTCCATCGACAGCCTGACCAATGGTGAAACATCAGTCATCTAAAACAAAAAAAATCACACAGTCAAGAAGAAAACATACCCTTAATTTAGACTCCATGGACTACATTGGAATGAAAGCAAAACGGCATGAAAACATCTCTCCCCCACCACCTTCAGCCCTATCTCACTAGCCGATCAATGTTACCTTGTTCCCTGCAGTCTCCACAAAGCCGGAATTCCCAAAATAAACACCTAAATAATAATGAGGACATACATGAAAAGCTCAACTCCCAGTCGAGGCACGTATTTGCTTCACCCCCACCCTCTCTGTGGCCAAAATTCCATCGTCGGCAGGTCTTGGCCGCTTGGCTCTTGATCGACTAGCCTGGCTTTTGTCGTCTTCCCACTGCGCGAGGTAGAGGCGAACTAATTTTTCATCGAGAGGTGGACAGGGTAGTCCGCCTGGGTAGTCCTCAAGAGCACGCTCGGTGTTATCAGTCGAGTAGACTGGCATGTTCTCATACATTTCCCACCGGGTGAGTCCCTTATAATACTTTTGTTGCAACATTGGTTGCAGTGGCTTCAGACGACTGTTCGGCTTACTGGCAAGCTTCTCGACCCATTCAGAGTATGGCAGAGCTTCCATTTTCTGATTTGCGCATCGTGCAATTAGTTCGAATGTGTCGTTTACGGAAACATATTCTGACGCATGTGGGACTATGTGATATGCCTTCCCAAGGTTCTTGTTCGACGAGGAAATGTGCAGAATGGCCGAGCAGACATAGTCAACCGGGACAACGTCTTTCCGTTGACCAGGAAGCAGTGGGCAACATCCAATCTCGAAGCATGTGTTTATCAAACGACAGAGGAAATCATCGGGGTTGCCTACACCGCTGACGGTGTGACCGGTCACTGATCCTGGTCGGTATATGGCTACTGGGAATCCCCGGCTGATCAGATTCTGTAGTATATATTCGACAACCCACTGGCTTTGGGCGTATCCATGGTCGTATGACAGCGCATCAAGGTGAGGCAAAAGAGGACCGTCTTCGGAAACTTTTGAGGCGCCGGTTATCATACCTGTGGGCCCGAAGCAGGAGATGCTCGACACATAATGAAGGGTCTTAGGCCTCCCGGTACTAACAAGGCGTAGGATGTTCAAGGTCCCAATGACGTTGGCGGCACGATGAACGGAATAGGGTTGGATATAGTTTACACGGGCTCCAAAATGGAACACAGCGCTCGCCCATTCCGTGATTTCTTCAAAGCGTTCTTTGCTAAATCCCAGATTGTCGTCCTCGAGGTTCCCAGGAAGAATGAGCAATTTCGCCATGAGGGATTCATTCCAGAGCTTATATTTCTCAAGGATCTTGCGAAGACGCATGAAACCCGTCTCAACGCTTGAAGCGCGCACCAGACATCCAACCTGATGGATGTCCGGCATCTCGAGTAGTTGTACAAGGAAAAATGCGCCCACAAAGCCGGTGGCACCTGTCAAGAAGACACGGCCTTCTGTATCGCGGCGCCAGTTTAGAGGAGATTTGTTCGGAATACTTATGCCTTCACCTAGTTTGGCATCTGCCAGCCAAAGTTGTCGCTCGTCCTTCTCAATGAATGTTCCCTTCCTGAAGCTGTCGATTACAGCAGCTAGCCCGATCAGTGTGGAGTTGTCGTAAAGGGTTAACGTCGAGATATCGATGTCGAACTCACTTCGAATTCGGTGAATTAACACAGCAGCTTGGAGAGAAGTCCCGCCCAAGAGGAAAAAGTCATCGTGATCCTCAAAATTTGTTATGCCCAATCCTAATGTGTCACACCAAAGCTGTTGTAAGCGACAGATGGTTGTCATCGATTCTTGGTGTTTTGAAAGCGACACTGCTTGGGATTGGGCTTTTTCCAGGTACATGGTGACTAGTTTCTTGCGATCGACTTTATCATGGGAATTGAGGGGCAATTTGTCGATCAGCTCTATACGTGGGATCATGTATTCCGGAAGCATAATCTTCAGCCTATCGGCGACTCCGACGAGGGTATCCGTCGAATGAAAACTTGGAACCACGTATGCAACCAACGTTCCTCCTGTTCCAAGACCGGAAGTGTCGACTTTGAACGCAGCGGCATCCGAGAAACGGTCCGTTTTCAGCAACGCTGTCTCAACGGCCTCCAATTCAATACGGAATCCACGGATTTTAACTTGGTTGTCTCGTCTGCCAACGAAGAAAATCTGACCCGACTGGCCCCGGCTGACAAAATCTCCAGTGCGATAAAACATCTTTGATGTCGCCGATTCCATCAGACCGTTAATCTCGACAAACGCTTCGGAGTTCTTCTGAGGGTTGTTCACATAGCCGCGGCTGACGCCTGGCCCACCAAGGTATAGTTCTCCAACCTCGCCGTCCTTCACAGGACGCAGAGACTCATCTAGAATGAATGCCGATGTCGCACCAATAGGTTTTCCGATACTGATCGAGCCTTCCTTGGTATCATCCAGGGTAACTCTATGCGCAAGAGCAAATGCACAGCATTCAGTGGGGCCGTAAGCGTTGATTAGCTGGCCTGGTGGTCCGTTCTCTAGGATCGCTTTCACTGCCGATGGCTGAGCAACTTCGCCTCCGATCATCCACATCTTTAGACCAGAAAAGGCAGATGGATGGACAACAGCCGCGAGATTTAGAACAGCAGATGTTGTGGCCATAACTGTTACTTGGAACTTCTCTACTGTGTCGGCCAGCGCGAAGGGGTCGAGGAGGATGTTCTTGGAAACGAGAACGATGCGAGCGCCTCGTAACAGAGGAGCCCATACGTCGACAAGGGAGACATCAAAGCTAGTGCTATTTACATGTGCAACAGCATCTTCCGCGTCTAGAGGAGCAAAGGGGAAGTGATACACAACTTCCAGGACGGATCGAGCAAGGATTTGGACCGCCTTGGGCTCACTCGTGGTTCCAGACGTATGGATTAGATGGGTGCGGTGTTCGAGTGACGTTGAAACAGGAAGATCAGGCGGAATCTCTGCGCAGTACATTCCATTCTCAGCTTTCTCGTCGCCGACGACCAATTGATGGAAGCCCGATAGGCGATTTTCATTTGCACAATCGACAATAAGATACCGTGTGTTGAGCCTTTTTAATCTGGACTCGAGCTGCTCGTCGCTAAGGTTTGGGTCAAGGGGAACGCAGCTACCCCCAGCATATATTACTGCAATCTGAGTAATGACATCGTTGACGCTGGGGTTAACAATGATCCCAATGGGCTCCTCCAGGGCAATTTCGTTTTTTCGGAGTTGGGATGCTAGATGTATGCTCCGGGAGCGAATTTCTGCGTAAGTCGAAATGCAATTGCCGTCGACAACTGCGGGTGCGTCAGGAGTTAGAAGTGCTTGACCTTCGAAAAGTTGACCCAAGCCATCACCGCGTTGAACGAGGTGGTTATATTCGGAACCCATCATTAGGAGTGTTGAAAGCTAATTGAGGGTAGGAGATTTGCAATATGTTTGAAGAATGTCACAAGAAAGCTCCATCTACAATTTATTCTCTTTGAACAAACTTATATTTACCAGTCAGTAGAGATTCGGCGGAGAGCTTCCGGACTAGAGCTTGCCTTTTTTTTTCCTTTTTCCTTTTCCTTTTCTTTTTTTTTTCCCCTTGGTTACAAGCCAGCTACGCCTCGCTGCGAAGCAACATCCTATGTGTTTGGCTCATAATTGAGTGGCTGTGACTGATCATCGTCCCTTGCTAATCATTTCAAGCCATTAACCCAATTTTTGAGAAATGGGAGTGTGTTGTCAAGATGTGAATCAAATTTGGATCCCGCCTAGGAGAGTAAATAAATCCATGTAAGTAGCCTTCCGTGCCGTCGGACTGCCGGAGATTGCTAAGGTGGGCCGGCTGAAAGAACACGACTGATAAAGAGAGCATTTCTTGATAAAAAAAAAATTCCCTCCGTCGAACTCTCTGCAAGACTTCGATAACTTCATTCTATATCCAACGTACACGATGGCTTCTCCCGAAATCATAGCAGTGTTCGGTGCTACAGGTAACCAGGGTGGCTCTGTTGTCAGATCCCTTCTCGGGAACAAGGCCAATTTCCAAGTTCGCGCCATTACCCGCAATCCTGAATCAGAGAGAAGCAAGGCGCTGGTTGATCTTGGTGCTACAGTCGTCAGGGCTAATGGCTTCAATCCCGCTGAGATGGCCCAGGCATTTGGAGGTGCCTGGGGAGCATTCGTCAATATCAATTCGGATGACAAGGTAACCATCTAGATATCCATATATTTTCTTTTTTATTCCCTCCACCATTGCGGGGGCCAAATGCTTAGGGATTCGTCAGATTTTCACCGACTCAACCGCTCCCACTGAGTTTGACATGGGAAAGACCATTATCGATGGTGCTATTGAAGCGGGCGTGAAGCATATCGTCTTCAGCTCCGGTCCTCCTTGCACAGAAATGACCGGGGGGAAGGTCCGAATGAAAGCCATGGACAGTAAGCCACCCGCAGATTTACCTTTCTGGTCCATCACTAATTGGCTCTGTGTGACGATCAGTGAAAAACAAGATCGAACATTACATTCGCTCAACTGGAAAGTTTTCCACTGCCTCATTCATCTGCGCTGGGTGGTATTTGGAGAACTTCCTGTCGAAGGAAGTTGCCCCAGTCTTTGGTGGCTTTCCTCACTTCCCCGACCCAGAAGGGTACCTCACGTTTAAGGCTCCGATGTGGGGAGGGATGGAGGACGTTCCATGGCTCAGCATGACCGACGATTACGGTGACATAATCCACGGCCTATTTTTGGAGCCCGAGAAGTGGGATGGTCATGTCATCCATGGAGTGAGCGATATTCGTAGCTTTGACGAATTGGTCGGAGCGTTCCAGCAAGGTATGTGTAGAAATTAGCATTGGTCCAATGCAGAAGCACAAAACGGGAAATAGCCTGCCGGCGGTTATTGACAAGATTTCAGTGACCGGGAAAAAATCCCGCTACGATCCTCTCATGCCATCCTGGGAAGCCTTCGATACGCATGGGATCCATGAGCTCGAAGATGCGAAATTGATGTTCGGGTTCACGCAGATCACTGGTGGACGATATTTTGGCGAGAAAGCCACCGAGTCCGATACAGCGGCGCAGCTGAAGGCGGCCGGAGCTTGTGCCAGGGGTCAAGAGGGGCCAGATCTTCAGTTGATCAGTGCTGAAGAATGGTTCAAACGACGTTTTACCGTTTGAGGAACTTCCTGAATGATGAGGCTGGGAACTGGAACCTGCATGAGGATACGATGATGATTTGTTCGAGAAAGGCCCATGCCGCGAAAGTCTTAGTTTATTGGTTCACTAGTATTTTTGCATTTGCTCTTCGCTCGATTTTAGCCTATCGGTTTAGCTATATGCAGTTGGAATTGAAACGGTCTGGAACAACTCAATTGTTCAGCTCTGCACATCTTCTGCACAGTACATCGCATTTAGATCACTCCGAAAAAAGTGATATTTCAGACCGCTTAGTTGTCCGATGCCGTCGAACTATTGTATCGATCCAAAATATATTATATGTTCTGGTACGGACTAATGTTCGTTTAAATGTTCGTTTAGGGCATCGCTCTCTTCCTCTGGTCACTCATCAATTAAGCTTGGTGGCTGCGCTGAACCTGTGCACTAAGTAGCGGAGTACATAACTTTCACCCTGCTTTCCCCTCGATTCCTGTTTTGCAGCCCCCCTTGGGAGAATGGAAAATCGCAAAAATGGGCGATGAATCTCTGCATGGTATCCACAACATGAAGTCCTTACAATCAGCATCCCAATTTTGGGAGCGCGTTGTGGTACAAAAGTAGAAATAGCCCGATCGGATCTGAGCCGGGAGGCGTTCGGAGCAGGAAAGCATCTTCCAGAATGCAAGATAGACTGCCAGGCTCTCGAAGGGTATATGTTGTAATGCATATGCTTCTCTCCTTGTTACAATTTCGGCCAAATACACCATTTCGTTTTTGACTTCCACCAGGATATCGCCGCAAGAATGTCGAGATTAATTGACAGAGAAGAGAACAAGAGGAAACGGCCTATGAAGGTCATTGTCGCGGGACTATGCAGGACAGGAACGATGTGTAAGTCATTTCATCGATCTTGATCTCATTGTAACTGAATAGCTGATGTGCTTTAATAGCAATGAACATCGCTCTTCGCCAGCTGGGCTTTACAACCTGCCATTTGACTGAGCAAATGGATGATCCGAAGCGATATTTCACACTCTGGACTGAAGCAATGAACTGCAATTTCTTCAACAAAGGCCGTCCCTATGGTCGTGACGAATTTGACCGTCTCTTGGGCGAATACGATGCCTGCCTCGACATGCCCTGTTGCCTCTTCTGGAACGAGTTACACCAGGCTTACCCGGACGCCAAAATCATTCTCACCAACCGCAGCGTCGATTCCTGGATGAATTCGATGCATAAAACGATTTTCCCGTATATCCAGCGCTGGCACACGCAGGCCTTGAAGCTCCTTGATTCTGATATGACCCGCCCGGTCGTGGTTATGATGGAGACGTCTTTCAAGGTACTTTGCAACAACGACTATGGAGAACGATGCCGACAGGCCTACATAGATCACTATGAGAAGGTCAGGAGTACTATTCCCAAAGATCAACTTCTTGATTTTAATTTTGGCGATGGATGGGAGCCGCTTTGTGAATTTCTGGGAGTTCCTGTCCCGGATGGTTCGTTTCCCAAAACAAATTCCGCCGATATGTTTAACGCCAACGTGGAGGCAGAATTTTGGAATACTGTATGGGGGTCGGCAAAGTCAGTTGGCACCTATGTGATACCCGCTGCTGCAATTTCCGCCGGAGTTTGGTTATGGGCTGCTTGAACAACGTATCTACTGTAGCACTATGTATCATTCAGTTTCTCAAATTCAAATTCCAACATCTCAATGTGTTCCAGGATATCAGCTGTTTGGGGAAATGCTGAGCGAAATCATAATATTTAGTGAGCCAGTCCACTTTGTTTTTTGGTCCAGTATGCTGTAATATGGTCAAAACTACGCCCTGCAGCCTGATGATGAAGCTGCGTTTATTTGCCTTTGATTTCCGGATTAGCATCCCCTGTAAGTTAGCCTCAATGTAAATTTGTGTGCGCGAATGGGATCTTGATAATCCCTGACCCTGAAAAAGAGCTGAAACTCTTTGGTAGAGCCAAAATTCACCAAGGGGCCCCATTTGCAGGCCTCCCTGTCGTTTGTTGCGAGAGGGCGCGCTTTTCGGATGACCTGCAGATTCATGCAAAAGCCAACTAACTAATCACATCTGACGAAAAACCAAAAATTGCGCCTTAGATGCATGTGTGCCCTTCGAGCCGGGTCACTTACTCTTTGAGGCGTGAATACCTTTCTTCAAGGGCCGTATGGAGTACATTTCTCACGGAATAACGTAACCTCTACTAGTGCTAGTGGAGAGAGTGTGTCTAATAGTTACCTGTATCAGTTGTGGGGAAAGACGGCGGAAATGCCCCCCTATTCCACTTGTATGTCACTGTACGGACTACAGTACACATCATACCCAGTTTTAATAATAATAGCGAGTTCCTGATCCATGCAGGATATAACCAGCAGATCGGCCTTTTAATCACATCTACGCCAAAACAAACGGTTGTGTACTCCGTACTCTAACAGCCTTTGCGTGAGTTATTCGTTTCCATAAAGTTCCTTTCCCAATAGGGAAATCTTTATATTCTGCACTGTCCGTGATTAGAAGCGCAAGAATAACTTTATTTCTTGAAGTTATATCATTCAGTTCTCCTTGATAAACATAACTCCTCCGACCGAAAATGAAGCCCTTCACAGAAGAGGAAACGATCAAGCATCAAGCGACGCTCAACGAAACAATTGCTCAACCGCTCCCTCGACAGACTCCTTTGCCCACTGTACCGCAGGATGATGTTGAGACATATGAAGTGGTCATTGCTGGTGTACGTAACAAACTCAAGGGCATGCGGCAGTATCAAATTCATTTCATTAACTTCCACTCCTAGGCGGGGCCAGCGGGCCTTCTCCTAAACCTTCTACTCGCACGCTACGGGCTTCCAGACTCTTCCCGCTTATGTATTGACTCGAGTCCATCGGCACTCAAAGTTGGACATGCGGATGCGATGATGCAACGGACTTTGGAAGTCTTTAGGAGCTTAGATATAGCTGATGAGATCTGGAATCAGGGGCTGCGTGCCTACGAATTCACCAGGTGGATTAAGGATCCCAGCGCTCCCACGGGCTTCATTCGGCAGTTCTCGCAATACACCAGCCAGATCAAGGGGCGGTATAAACCGGCTATGCTGTTGATATCACAGGGGAGGATTGAACGAATTCTCCATGATAATCTCAAAAAATATTCAAAAAGGGGGGTCGTTTGGAACTGCCGGATTGTGGATGTCCAGATTGAAAATGGTGTAGAGTCTGATTTTCCAGTGAAGGCAACCCTTGAGCTAAATGGCGAGAAACGCAAAGTTAGAACAAAGTATCTAATTGGAGCAGACGGGGCTCATTCTGTCGTAAGACAATCGATTGGCATAAACCAAACCGGAGGCTCGATTGGCGATATTTGGGGTGCTATTGATATGGTGGTTGACACCGATTTCCCGGATATTCGAAGACCTGTTCATCTAACGTCTACCAACCGCATTGTTTCGATAATTCCCCGCGAAAGGAAGAATGATGGAGAATACCTAACCCGGATATACGTGCCATTTGCTGACGATGATCCTATCGAGCCGGGCAGCTCTGCGCCTGTGGTGAACACCGAGGAATCCCAGCGTGCAAGAAGAGCCAAGGTTACTCCGGAGCTCATTTTGCAACGCACAAGAGACTTATTCCATCCATATTATATCCGGCCTAAGCAGGACATTGAGTGGTGGACAGCATATCAAGTGGGGAGGCGGGTAGCCGAACGTCTCGTCGAGAAAGACAAGGCTGGAAATTCACGCGTTTTCCTTGTAGGAGATGGTTCGTACAATCCTTTCATAGTATTCCCTTGCCAGATTGATGAGAGGACGAAACAGTGCTAACAGCCTGTTACTTAAGCATGTCATACCCACTCTCCAGCTATGGGACAAGGGATGAATGTTGCCCTAATGGACAGCTACGATCTATCTTGGAAGCTCATGTACGCAATCAACGGATTGACTCCAGAGCCGGAAAAGCTTCTAGATACATTTTCCCACGACCGCCTGAAAAATGCCAAGAAGCTTGTCGATTATGACCGCGACTGGTATGAAGGCCGGTACATGATTGAATCAGAGGACAGTGTCAAGGCGGATAATTTTCTAGAACTGGAGTTGCTTGCTTTCATGGTTGGTGCCATTGAATATGATGAAGGATTCCTAGTTGACGAGAAGACCGGGACCTCGGACGGGCCGATTAACAGTTCCAACTTCTTAAATGGAGTTTTGAGGGAGGGACGCCGGTTCGGAGATGGGATTATTACGAGGTTTGCAGATGGTGATATCAGACATTCACAGGACGAGTTTCCCTCAGACGGACGCTTCCGCATACTTGTCTTTGCATCCGACGATCTTCTCAAAAATCCAGACGGGAACTCTGCATCTTCGCTTAACGAAATCTGTCAAGAAATACTGCCCTCGTTTGTTCCAAAAACGGTAGAGCTAGTGGTTTTCGTGCCGTTTAACTCCTTTTCTTTTGAATGGGCAGATATTCCGCCAGCTGTCAAACGGGAAGCTGAAATGCGTATGCATTATCTTGATCCAGAAGGATATTCCGCCTATGGCGTTGACATGAAGTTGGGTGCAGTCGCTGTGGTTCGGCCAGACGGGTATGTGGGAACTATCGCGAGACTGGACGACACGCAAAAGATCGATAGCTATTTGAAGCGATGTTTGTGGACAGTTACATAGGTGGTCTTTCCAATTGGCTTCCAATAATTGTTAATAATGGACATGATTTTGCATTTCCTCCCTACTCGTTTCGCGCAGAAAGAAATATCATCTAGGGCTCAATCGTAACCTAACTTAGCTAGTTACCCGATTCGGAACTTAGTAAGCAGAATAGCCCTAGTTAACTAATTAGTTACCTAGTTAATTAACCCTAATTGTTTTGCGACCTCAGCGTCAATTCAAACCAACATTCAATCTGTCCGGCTGGGACTGCAATTACCATACCAAGTCATGTCATGTTAATTGGTGAAGGGAGTCGGATTATTTGGTTCATAGGCCGAAATTCCAAAAATGAAGTCGGTGTCCGAGGTACTTTGTAGACGTATCAATGCGCGCCACGATGAAGATAACGTTAAACATAATTTCGCTGCTCACCATGTTAGCCACGGTGAACTCCCAATTTTGAGTAAGTTATGGAGCCACTAATCAGCCAGCCATTGCTCGGAGAACCAACCGAAACTCTGCAGGATCGGCATTTCCAGGTAAGCTCCATTCTTCCCCAAGTCTGAATTGTATTTGACCATCTTGGCAGGGAGCGAGGGGAGTAGTACACTCTGGATCACGGCGCGGCATGCTGGACAAATGTCGGCATCTACTATGCGTAGTACCAAGCGGTATTTCCCTCCTGTGTCATTGAACTTTCTTTTTTGTTTAATATAAACCGCTTCAATTTACACCGGCGAAGGCGATATCCCTTCAAACTGGCCTAATATCACGGACGCGACACGATAATGTCTGATCAGTCTGGCCAGAGGAACGGCGAGAATGAAACAACTCCCTTAATCAGACAAAACATTACCTCTAATGGGAAGTTAACGGGCACGAGCAATGGCTGTGAACCAAAAAGTTTCCTTAAAGCGAGCGTCTGTGCCGACGACGACAACATACACGACACCCACTTCATCGACATTACTCCCTCCAAGTTCTGGGTGATATTCGGAAGCCTCTTGCTCTCTATCGTTCTATCCTTTTTTGACGGCTCTCTTTTAGAATCCATCCATCCCGTCATCTCGTCGCATTTCCATGTTGCGAACTCAGCATCCTGGCTATCTACGGGGTTCCTCTTAACCTGTACGGTGTTTCAACCGATCATTGGTCAGATATCCGATATATTTGGCAGACGCGTTCCTTACCTTGTTTCCATTACGATATTCTTCATATCCACGGCCTGGTGCGGGACAGCATGGAGTTTCAGCAGCTTCCTTTGCGCACGACTACTTTGCGGTGTTGGTGCGAGCGGAATCATCGCTCTGGGGTCCATTATCTGTTCGGATTTGATCTATATTGAGCACAGAGGGATGTACCAGTCTTACCTCAGTCTTGCGTACGGCCTTGGGAACTGCCTTGGACTGGCATTCGGGGGGTTGATAGTTGATACCCTCGGCTGGAGAGCAGCGTTTGGAATACAACTACCTTTGCTCTGTGTACTGTTCGCCGCGGCATATTTTACGTTGCCTTCAAACCTGGGTCCCCAGTTAGCACGCGAACGCAACATTAACATCCGACAAGCACTTGGAACGATAGACATTGCTGGTTCCTTTTGCCTTGTCCTTGGTGTCACAGCTCTGATGCTGGGACTGAATTTAGGCGGCAATGTTTTCCCCTGGAGACATCCGCTTGTTATCTCTTCATTGATCGTATTTTGCTTGGTTTCAGTTCCCTTCATCAAAGTTGAACGCTTGTCCTCCAACCCTGCTATCCCATTGCCGCTCCTATCAAAAGGCCCGCATGCGAATTTAATGCTCGGGAACTTCCTTGCTGGTATCTCTATTAACACAATCTTGTTCAACGCACCTCTTTTCTTTCAGGCAGTCAAGTTGGAGTCACCGACGAGCTCGGGGCTCCGTCTACTTCCCGCATCTGTTGGGTTAATGATTTCCAGCCTCTTAACCGGTATCCTTATGGCAAGAACCCGTCGACTGAAGCCGATTCTCCTTCTAGGGGTATTTTGGCTGATTGGCAGCTCTGCCTGCTCCGGGATTCTCAGTGTCAACGCCCCAGATTGGGTTTCCGTGCTCATTATTGCAATGGCGGCCTTTAGCCAGGGCGCGTTGTATCCGCCCACCATGATGGGAGTACTGTCGACCAGCGCCCAGGAGGACCAGGCTGTTATCACCACAACTCTTTCCCTACTCCGTTCTCTAGGGTGGGTGATGGGCGTGGCAGTCAGCAGCTTGATTTTCCAAAACGCTCTGGGTGCGTTCCTCCGCCAAACTGTTACCGGCCATGATAAAGCGGATATAATTCTCCGTGTTCGAAAGTCTATTAAAGAAATCGCTCAATTGGATACGATCCATAAAGCCCAGGGTACGTCTTCTCCTCAAATAAATCCAATCCCTGAGGATAGATATTATTAACTCATATCGTCAATAGTTGTCAGCGCCTATGAAATGGCACTTCGTGTAACCTTCTTGTCGAGCGTACTCTGGGGGGTCCTTGTACTTGCGCTCACCGTTCCTGTCAAATTACCCCGACTGGGACACAAAAAGTGATTTTTCAGCCCGACTTTTCTTCGCAGCCTGTGCATTTTAAATTCCCTATATACTCAATATGATTTAGCTAGCGAGATCTTCTTGCCTTGCACCTTTCGCTTGAAGGGCCCTTAATTGTATAGACTAGGGAGAAACCACTCTAGATTTTATGTAGAGTTTCATTATTGACTTGGAGAGAAATGAAAATATTCCTCATCTACGCCCAGGCAAAGTGTCCACCTCTCTCAATTCCATTGTACCATGTCTGTCCTCACAGTGATACTCAGGGAGTGTTCGGTTGCCTGTTTAACCTCATGTAGGCTCTTATAAAAGACTCACTTGCATAATCTTGCACACTGTATTTAAATTACCTGAACAAAAAAGGCCTTGTGTTCAGTCTGTCATTCTTATATCTCTTTTTCTTCTTCATTTACATGTGATTAGAGTTCAACAGTGGAATTAGACTGGATAGTGAAGAGTTATAACTGAAATAGACAAGATGAGGGATGTGCAAAGCTGTCAGTATCTGAGTCATTTTCATGGAAAGGCATAGTAGTGGGGTAGATCATATTTCTTGCTTAAATATGCTAGCTGCGTGTAGGTTTTATGAGTTTTGCCTCAAAATATAGATTCATTCCATTAGCGTGAGGTCCAGAACAACACGTCCTGTGCAACACAAAGTCGTCTCTTTTAGGACCCCTACATGAGGTTATCCAGTTCAATCAAGTTGCGCACTTTTTTTGGACTGCATTCGGCACTGGTATCGCCAGCGGTTACGAACCCGCCCGGGAATATTTTCTTTGCCAGAATCCAAGACAAGCTATGGCGTACAGCAATGATCTGACAACCCTCCCATCACACTGCAGAGATGTGTGCTGTAGCTCTTCTGAAAATATCGCCCACGCAAACTAGTGCGGACGAGAATCTGAAGAGCGGCCTAGCCCATTGAAATACGCATACTCCGTATACTATGCGTAGCTGCGAGTGAGAGCCCCTGCGGTTCTCTTTGCAACACGCTGAAATTTGAGACTGGGCGGGGCAGCAAAGCTATGAAAATTAGGAGTGGCTCAGCTGGAAGCACTGAGTGCTAATCACAGCAGCACTGAATTTTATGATTTTCACCATTCGATGAAATACAGCTATATGCTCAACTACCTGAGCGGAAAAGTTTGCTGAATGAGTATGGGAAAGTGGTGGATGATCGCACGACCCCAATAGCTTCAAGCTCGAAAATATGAAGGATAAGGATAAAAAGAGATATTCTGCTGGTTGTGCCCATCGCTCCGCATTAGCAGTTATTAATATATCAATTCAGGCAAATGCTAGATCCTTGAATCAGCTAGTATCTTTACATCCCCCCTCCCCCCATGGTTGATTGACTAGCGGGCAGTGTGACCAGTCACGTCGCCCTGGTACATATACATTTTAATGCGTTGATGAGCTGCAGATTATACCGAAGTATTCATTTCCATCCATAAATAGGGAATCAGCTCTATATCCCATTCATTTCCTCCAAAAGACCATCCACAACCGCGAAAATGACACCCAACGACATCGAAGCCCGTAAAAGTACCTTCTACGATTCGGCCTATAATGCTGAATATTATGACATATGGGCCGAAGAGAATGGTAAGACCCTCGACCTAAAGGACGGCGCACCCTCCTATCCACCCGTCTTCAAGGAGCAGCTATCAACACGTTCTCCAAAGCCTTCCCCCGAGACTCCCTTTGCTGTCCTAGACATTGGGACCGGCACGGGCCGTATCCTTATCGATCTTGCCAACGATGGCGAACGCCATGGACTCGACCTATCAAATGTCCATTTTATTGGCGTGGACACGGAGCAGGCAATGCTAGATCGCGCAGAGAAAGCGCAGGCCACCCTCTCAAGCATGGCGCGAGTTGGCAAAATTGTGTTTGCTATAGGTGACGCTGCGACTGTGGCTTCATCGCCAGCTCTCCAGGACTATGCCGGCGGCATTGACCTCCTCTTCTTCGCGGCCGGTAGCATCAGCCATCTCATCGGCCCCGATGAGCCGCAACGTTTCTTCGCTCAGGTCGCCTCGCTTCTTCGCCCTGGCTCGGGGCGCGTTTACTTCCCCATTATGAACCCTCTCATCTCGAAGAGGTCCATTACTCAAGAGCCAACCGCTCCGAAAACCTCCACGAGATTGCAACAGGGGGAAGAGTTCCCAAGCAAGACGTTCCCGAATATTATATATAAAAAGTTTCCCCCTGACGACATCAAGGTGGATGGATTTGTCAAGACACACTACCATGATTTCCACGTCATCCGCAGGCTAGAGTCTAGTGAAGAGGAGGTGGTTCAGAACGATAGGGTGGCGTTTTCGTTGCGAGTATGGGAGGAACCCGAGCTTTTGGAATGGACTAAGGATGCTGGGTTAGAGTGCGTTGAGACGTTCCACGGCATGCGTGACACTTCCTATGTTTTCAAACTCCGGGAATAAAACCTTGTAAACTTCCCAGGTTCGTGATTCGCCATGTGTGGTAAACATAACCTAGGCATGATATAGGCGTGAAATTCTTGCCGTTTGTGTTGGGTTTTGCAGCTGAGCTAGTCCTGTCTGTAAAGCTTTCTACGGCGATCGTGTTTACTGAGCTTTATACTGTCCTGGTATACAATTGGCAATTGCACAATTTATATAGAGCGCAATTTTATTCCAGCCGAAGTAATAATGATAATATTTTATCGAAATCAAGTTATATTTTTAAAAATTCGGTATATATTGAGCTTCAGTTGAGTGAATTTTAGAAATTTTAAATACTTATTGATATTAATGAATTCCTTATAAAAAAAATAGATTATTTTAATATCTAATATAGTTATCAGATTGATATTACAGAAAAAGTTATTCAAAATATTAAAAATACTCTGGATTTGAAATCACTCAGTTTGACAGACTGTCTGAAAAAGATCTTCAAAACTAGTCTATCTCACACAGAACTTAATAAACAGCAGATAATTGAATTAAAAAACTATTTAATTATGAATAAATATCACAGAGTTAAAACAAGTTGCTGACAGATTCAGTTAAAGAGTGTTCTCACTGTTAAAAATATAAATAGAAAAATCATACAATGTAAAGAAAATAAAGTAGAAAAAGAGTAGAATAAGAAGAGATAGAGAGAATTGATTTCATTAAAATTAACAACAACTCACTCTCATCACTAACTGAGAAGAAAATGAAATGATTTAGAGATGATACATATACTGAGAATGATGTAGATAATTTATTTATTATAGATTAGCTACTGATTGTTAATATAAAGAGCTATAATGAGAATGTGATTCTTGATTTTTATTATTTCAGTTTTTTATCATTTTGATGTGTGTATACAGAAAACTTGACCTTGCTAAGTGCGTCACTTGACCTCATTACATAATCATGACTCTGACCTTGCATAATACAGTAATAATTAGACTGGCTGCTGAGATTATGAATTTCATATTTAATCTCATTTAATCTGATCTCATACATTTCTTGATGTGAATTCTGCTGAAACTGGCTATTAAAAAAATATGTAAAGTGACTATATATCAGATCTTAAAATAAAATCATGACTTGAAAAAAATAAGAAAGTGATCTTATTTAATCTCATTTAATTTCATTCTTGATATAAAGTTACTATTTTTAGACATTTTAAGATTTTTTTTAAGACTATTTTTAATTTTTTAAAAAGTAATGCTTTTTGATAATACTCAAATGAGATTTAAAGTCATTTAAAGCAATAAAAATAATTTAAATTAAGAAGTAGAAATTATAGTCTCATTTGAAAAATGTGATAAGAGTAGACAGTAAGTCTCACTGAGACAGTATGAGACTACTATCTAATGTTAAAACCATGTAATGAAATCAGTTAAATTGATAATGAAACTATCAAAAAATCTGGTTCTGATCTCAGACACAGTCACACAGTCAGTCTAGTAATAATCAGTTGATAATTGACTTTCAATCTTTCAATTCACTCATTTATTCAGCTCATCAATCAATCAAAGCATGTATAGCTGATTTATAATTAATTAAATAAACAGATAAATTTATATAGAATATAAAGAGATGTTTTACAGAATTTTAAAATATATTAAGATAAAAATATTTAATAATTAATTTTAAATTAATTTTAAATTAATTCTGAATTAATTCTGAATTAATTATAGTAATAAAAATAGATTTAATCTATATATTTAAGTAATTAATAATTGATTGAAAATCAGTTGATAATCAATTCAGTATGTGGCGGGCTGCGCCCGATCAATTATATAGACTATTCCGTTACACTCCACAGATTCCAACCACTTCATTCTCGAACGCGTACGCTCCGATTCTCGGCCATTCTCGATCACCGCCGCTCTGATTCTCGGCCATTCTCGATCGCCGATCCTCGGCCGCTACGAACGCGCGTATATTCTTCCGCCCCGAAGCTCCACCGCGTACGCCACCACATACGTGTATAAATATCCACCTCAATCGCTGATTCTCGCACTTTCTCTTTCTTTCCTTCTTTAATGTTTTTATCTTTGTTAAATAAGACCTATCAATATAATACCGATCTATTCAGCGTAGGCCTCTTACACTATAAAAATGTTCATCATCTTCTTATTAGGAAACAATTATCCACGCATTGTCTCCTCATTAGGAACAATTATTCATCAAGAGATATCCGAACGCGTAACGACGCGTAAGAAAGAGAAAAACACAGTTAAGCGGACACTGAGTTCTCAGATAGAAGCTTGCTCGCCAGTCGCCCTGGCCCCGCAATAAAGATCTTACAAGAGAATGTCAGTGAAAGACCTGAGAGTCCTGAAACTCAGATGTATGAGAATACGATTACACTTCTTCAGATTTCACAGATATCATACATCCGACGATCGATATAACCATGTCTAATGATAATATGGAACTCTCGAACGCGAGTATAGATGCGATGTCACAGTGACTCTGAGCAATGTTGAAATTACAACAGCAACAGATAGCAGACATGCATGTGACTCAATAACTTCAATATGAAGAGATTCAATGATTAACTCACACAATTTCAACATTCACAGAATCAAATACAAAAGCACTGAAAGAATGCTTAGATGCTCTCACATATTTTAATACTTTCAACCTCACTCTCTACTCATTATGAAGAATGAAAATATACAGAAGCATCTAAGTGTTCTTTCAGTACTTTTGTATTTAATTCTGTGAATGTTGAAATTACATGAGTTAATTGTTGAATCTCTTCATATTAAAGTTGTTAAGTCACATGCATGTCTGCTATCTATTACTATTGTAATTTCAACATTGCTTAGAGTCACTGTAGCATTATATCTATACTTGTATTTAAGAGTTTTATATTATTATAAGACCTATAATATTATACTGATCTATTCAGTGTAGATCTCTTACACAGTATTATTATTAAATTCAAGAATAATTTCAGTATTAAATTAATTTTGAATTGATTTTGAATTAATTCTGAATTAATTGTTAATTAATTATAGTAATAAAATAAATTCAATCTGTATATTTAAGTAATTAATAATTGATTGAAAATCAGTTAATAATTAATTCAGTGTAAATTATATAAATACTTACTTTATTATTAAATTCAAGAATAATTTCAGTATTAAATTGATTTTAAATTAATTTTAAATTGATTATAGAATTGATGGTAAATAATTAAGAAAGAAAGAGTGGTTTCAAATTATAAGAAAAGATGTATTGAGTGAGGTCAGATAGTGGCACGGGCCACATTTGTGAGGTCAGCTTACATAACGAGGTCAAGTGGCGCACTTAGCGAGGTCAAGTTTTCTGCTTCCTGTTTGGTGTGGTGCACTCACTAACTAGAGGTGATGAGTAAGCAGCGGCACAATTAGTTCTCACCACGATCCTCTTGGCTTCGTTTGTCCTTCCTTCCCTGACCGTAGCAGAGACCATCAAAGGATACTAGAAGAATCATCTATGCTGTCTCTTAGTAGTCCTTTTCGCTGGCACATATGGTCGTCGCTCTGGGGTTTTATCTCTAAATTCATTAGGAGCATTTATCTACCCCGTTACCGCGGCGCGACAGCAACACCAACTCTCAACGACGATGCTGAACTTGGACGTACAAAAGCACAATTCCAGCACGTCAGTGAGCTAATAATGCTACAACTGCCGCCTACTGACTTGATTATGTAGAATGCCAAATCGCCCGAAGAGTCAAACTATGTCGTTGCTGACCGCCCAACCGTCGAACAGTCTGGCAATGAGATAATCTTGCACGTGAAGCAGCCGCCGAAATGTATATCAATTGGGTTTTCCGGAATCATCTGTGAAATCGACGAAGATACCATTGTGAAACACCCGAAGGTCATTCCGAATAATGATCCATACAATCAGATGTACCGCGATATGATCATTAACGAACGACTGGTCTACGAGCGTCTGGGGAGTCATAAAGGGATTATTTCATACTTGGGCGTCCACGACGAAGTAACCGGTGCGATAAGGTTGGCATATGCAAAGGAAGGAGATCTGGAATGCTATATTCAAAGCCATGACAAGCCATCAGAAACAATTCGCACCACCTGGATTCAATTGCTAGTGGAGACTTTCTGGTATATCTACTCTCAAAAAGTTCTCCATCAAGATGTCAAGCCCAACAATATACTTGTTGAGAATGGCACTTTGAAGGTTGTTGATTTTGCCAACGCCACAATGCATGCATTGGATGCTGATATGGAAGAGGTCTGCGCGAAAGATCCATTGTCACGAGTTGATATACTTAGTCTTGGGTGTATTATTTATTCTATTGCAGCATGGCGGGTCTTCTACTATGATTATTTTGAACATGATTGCTGGCCCGAGCCAGAGAATCTCCCTGCAACAAGCGGCCTAGTTTACGATGATATCATCAACAAATGCTGGACAGATAGCTATGGCACTATAAAATCGCTGTATGAAGACTGCAATGCTTTTTCTGGCATGAAGTGGTGAGAGGGGAGGACGCATCAATGTTGCCCAACAGTTGTTGAGGATTTGCTGGCTACAGGTTGTTTACATCATGTAGAAATAAGGTGCTTCCGATGTTCTACTATTATCTTCTCAGTGGGCCCAGCTCTTATCTCAAGAATTCATTTTAGCTTTGCCCACGTTCACAATCACCGAACAAAACGTCTTCTACTATCATTCGAATCCATAAACGTTGCCAGAAAGTTTCTATGCTACAAGGCTATATCCCGCAAGACACCATAACAGATCACTAATACACTTCCTGAACTATTATCCTTCTGATTTTAACTTCTCACTCCTCCCAGTTGTAATTGCCACGAGCCTAATTCTAGAATTAGTGTCATTAATAAATAAAACCTAACACTCAAGTTAGACTTACAAACTAGGCACCCACAGTAACGCCTTGGGGTTGAGCAACGGATGCGGAGCTCGAGCCTCCAGCTCCTGTTCCGTCACCATCCTTTGGTCCAGTAGGAGGCTTTTTGTTGCGGCAATTAGGGCAGACGTTTCGTTGTGCGTAACCACGGCTTTAAGCCTTGGTGGTAGTTGGTTCTGGATTTGGACATGGTGAACCTCTCTCAGTTGCGGGATCACACACACCAGTGGAGAATGGTGTTTCCTTCCGGCGCGGTGTGCCCACAGCTAGCTCCCCAAGTGTATGTATTTGGCGTCTCTTTCATGCACATTTTCGCCGAGTTTTATGCGGCCTTTATTGACGCGTGAGTACGGAGTAGT